GAGAGCCCACCTCTTGTTGGCAGTCCTCTGAAAAGTTGCACCCCTTTCCCATTACTCCCTGTCACATTCACTCATTTTATATCTGTTGTAGAATCTATCACACTCTTATCTTAGCTTTATTTGTTTACCTTTTGCTGTTTTCTCAGCTAGAATGTAAACTCTATGGGCAAGAATCTGATCTTGGCTACTGTGCTCCCAACACAGTACCAGGTGTAGAGGGACTTAATACTTACTGGTTCAATGAAGGAATGTATGAGGTGGGGAACAGCCTTCTGTGCTCCCCCAAATCAGGTGTGTAGACTTGAGTGGATGCTGTTTGTTAGATAGGACATGGGTCTCAAATGCTATTCTGACTGAATGCTGTTCTTGCTAAATGTTCAAATGTAGCACAGTATTTTGCAGACCAGCTGTAAACAGGATAAGCTTGACAGGAACTCAACCCATAAATGCAGCCAACTGCAGTGTAATGGACTAAATAGTTCAGTGAAGCAAGGCTCAGCCTCCCTTCTGAGAGACAGAATTTGGATATGAATGCCCTGTCTCCTTTCCTTTTTGCAAGAAAAAGAAAACTGCTTTGGGACAGACAGCCACATTTTGTTCTTGAATAGAGCAGCCCAAGCTAGAGCACCCCAACTGGCAAACGCCTTGAGTTTGGTAACAAGTTCATGGTCCACTATCATTATGGGTGCATGAAAAGCCTGTCATTTTATTGTACCTTTCTTTTTGGTGTTTTTTTTTTTTTTTTTTTTTTTTTTTTATGTATCTCAGGTACAGGCTTGATCTCTGGCCCTGGTCAGGGTGTGTACAGGAGGCAACCAAAGTGTCTCTCTCATATTGTGGGGGTGCGGGAAGAGAGAGAGAGAGAGAGAGACATCAACGACGAGAGAGAATCATTGATTGGCTGCCTCCTGCATGCCCTGGACTGGGGATTGAGCCCGCAACCTGGGCAGTGCCCTGACCTGGAATCGAACCATGACTTTCTAATTCATAGGTGGATGCTCAACCACTGAACCACACTGGCGGGGCTAACTAGGTAGCTTTTAAAAATCATTTTCCCCATGTACTCTAGGTTAACTGAATAATCATTCTGGGGAGTAGAGTCTAGCAATTGTATATTTAATAACTCCTCTTGTGCCCTAGCTGGATTTGCTCAGTAGATAGAGTGTTGGCCTGCAGACTGAGGGGCCCTGGGTTCAGTTCTGGTCAAGGTCATGAACCTCCATTGCAGGCTCAATCCCTGGCCCTGGTTGGGGTGCATGGGGGAGGCAACCAATCAATTTGTCTTTCTCACATAGATGTTTCTCTCTCTGTGTCTCTCCTCTTCCCTTCATTCTCTCTAAAAAACAATGGAAAAAAAATATCCTTGGGTGAGGATTAACCAAAAACAGCAACATAATAAAAACCTCCTCTACTGATATCCACGCTTGAAATCATGCATCAAAGATATTCACATTTTTTCAGTAGAGTCTAAAATTTTTCTCCTTAGTCTTGTGCCTTGGATTAAATCCTAAGTATCTCAGTTTTCATTTCTACTGTGAATGAATTTTTTGTTATATTTTCCCCACCCAGTATAGGGGAATCCTATTGATATATATGCCCATATATATAGCTATAAATTAATCAGCTAATTTTTCTATATTTAAGTTTTTTGGTCATGTTGAACTCTTACTGTATTTTAATGACTAATTTTTTGGATGTTTTATGAAGATGATTATTTGATTTTATTTATTTTTTTGAAAAGAACATTTATTGCATAAATTACAGAGGTTGGAAAAGTTATTCCTAGGAGAAATGTGTTTAGGAAACAAGTTATGGAGGTGAAGGAAGGGCCCTTGGAGCTTGGGAGGGAGGAAGCTAATGGTAAAGTGCCTGGGAGGGAGGAGGGGCAGGGGGAGGGCACTAGGTCCTCCATCTTAAGGTTTTAAGGGTGGAGATTTTAGAGGAGGTTCCAGGAGAAGATCTCAATTGAATACTCAGTAGCTTTCCAGTGTGTCCTTTCAGGGTTGTGGTCTCCACTGATTGATGTTGGAAAAGTTATTCCTAGGAGAAATCTGTTTAGGAAACAAGTTATGGAGGTGAAGGAAGGGCCCTTGGAGCTTGGGAGGGAGGAAGCTAATGGTAAAGTGCCTGGGAGGGAGGAGGGGCAGGGGGAGGGCACTAGGTCCTCCATCTTAAGGTTTTAAGAGAGGAGATTTTAGAGGAGGTCCCAGGAGAAGATCTCAATAGAATACTCAGTAGCTTTCCAGTGTGTCCTTTCAGGGTGTGGTTTCCACTGATTGATTGGTTGGCACCAGGGCAGGGGGTCCTGACATCAGCTGCAGCTGTTTTTGCTGGGCCTGGAGCTGAAATACAACTGAGGCCTAGATGTCATCTCTAGGGAGGAAAGGTCAGGGGGTCCAAACCTCGTGACCAGCACTATGCTAGGGGAGGAAACGTTACCCTGGGGGCAAGGTCCCACCCTACAATTGAGTGTCCATTGCTAGGCACCTTGGGCTTTCCATCCTGGTGACCTTCTGTACCTGGCCCATCGTCCTTGCTCTACTCGTGTCTAACTGCCTGCAACATCCCCTCCAAAGATCTTGGCTCTGAAATCTTTCAGAGAAAAGGGGCGCATGGTCTTTTCTGTAGCTACTTCCTATTGAAAGGGGGCAACATTTTTCTTCAGAGCCAAGAGATCCTTGCTTTCTGTCCCAGGGACAATGAGGCCTGGGCACGGAAGGAGGTTGTGCTCTTATCTGGTATTCTCTAAGTGCACATAGGGCTTGTCATCTGATGGAGACAAACTGTATTAAAAAAATATTAATATTATTGGGGCAAAAGCTAGGATAACAATAATTATGACAACTGGTCCAGTGGAAAGAAAAGCGTTTTAGTACTCACTGATCCAAATCAAAGGATGGGAGAAAATGAAACATTAGTTGGAGATTGTAGCTAAATATTTCAGAAAACTAGATAAATTCAGGATTTAGTTCAATTCCTTGGTAAAAAAAACAAACAAACAAAAACAACAACAACAACTTTGAAACAATTGAAGTCTAATACTCACAACTGTGTATTATAGAGTCCATTGAAACATAACTTTCGCCCCTAAAATCACCCTCATTTTTATTAAAGAACAAAATTAGGACCAATTTATTTACTGTGTTAAATCTAGTTTCTATTTGGCCTGGTTATTTGCCTTATTCTTTGTAGAATCAAAAAGGTGGTTGCCCTAACTGGTTGTGCTCAATGGATAGAGCATTCACCTGCAGACTGAGGGGTCTCAGGTTCGATTCCGGCCAAGGGCACATGGCCGGCTTGCAGGCTCCATCCACAGTAGGGGGCATGTGGAAGGCAGCCGATCAATGATTCTCTCTCATCATTGATGTTTCTATCTCTCCCTCTCCCTTCCTCTCTGAAATCAATAAAAAAGATATTATTTTTTTTAAAAAGGTGGTTAATTTCTCTCTTATAGCTGGGTTTTTCTGAACATAAAATTAATTAACTTAGTTGGTCATTTACTGAGCACCATGTGCCAGTTTGTGTTGTAGGCTCAGGAAATGAAGCTAGAGCAAGACGGACACTCAACTTTGAAGCCCCAGTGTTGAGTGGAGGCAGGTTATTTATTTCTAAAGGGATATATTAAAGCCAGCTAGCCAGCTAGAGGCCATTAAATATGTGATAGCCACACCCATCACTGAGAGAGAAAGGGCATTTTTTCTACTGACATTTACTTAGGAAACTTACTGAACACCTAAAAAGGGGGAAAAGAAAGAAAAGAAACCCCTACTCCCTTCTTAGGACTTATCTCAAAAATGCCCTGTGGTTTGGGACTGTAATCACAGTGGACCTTTTGGTCTGACACTGACTTGTCCAATAAGCATTAATACCCCGATAGTTTGGCAAACTAACACCCTTATTATTTTTTCAGAGCATCATATCAAATCAATTAACAGTCTCATCTCAATTGACTCCCTTGGCAGAAAGAAACCTAATGCTGTGAGAAGTGAGATGACTGGAGAATTCAGAACGTGTGGAAAGAGACAGATGTCAGAGGCACTGGACCGTTTACTAAAATGTTAATATCAACACCATCGAATGCCCACTTCCTAAAAAACCCGGATTATAACGTCCTGAAGTTAGAAATGGGAGCTGTTCCACATCAAATCAGGTATAGCAATTCTTAGCATTTTTGTTTACATATGCCTTTGAGAATATGATGATAATGATGAACTCAGCCCAGGAAAAGTACATATTACTTACACACAAAATCCTGTTCTATAAGAACCACTATAATACCCAAGCTGGAACCCTATTAGTCACAGTGTCCATACACTGTGTAATCCTGATCACTTGGCTGCCAGAGAGTGTTTCTTCTATCTGACCTAGTTTCATTCTATAGCGTAAGCCTCTGTCCAGTGTTTCTGACCTGTTTGCTTCAGAAAAGATTACTACAGAACTGCTTGTAAAAATTTTTCATATATGCAAAAGGGCTATGAAATTTTGTGATGAAAATTCCTGAAGTTGAAACTTTTCTAATCTTTCCCTACAGATTGTGGCATGGAGTGCTAGTTACTTTCCAATACCCGGTTCTCCCTTCTGTGTTAGTTATTCAGCAATAAGATTACATTTTTTGAGTATCTCTTACAGCTACATATGGCCATGTGACTAGTCTTTAAGCCAGTAATATGTAAGCACCATGCTATGAAGATATTCTGAAACAAAATCTACCTTGTCTTACTTTGCCCTGTTGTCTGGAATGAAGACAAAAGAGCCGGAGATCAATAGCCATTCTGAACCATGAGTTTGAGATGTGATGGGAAATACTGTGTGTTGACCCTTCTAACAGAAATAATTTTCATGAAAATAGACACCTCGTTTATCTTGGTCTAAGCAACATCCCCAGCACTTAAAACCTGTATGGAATGTGGGAAGGGCTCAGGTATTGCATGGGTATTGAATGAGTTTACACCAAACTGTGAAACACTGATCATAAAGTCCTCCTAGGGGACATTCTGCCCTCAGTAGCAAAGGCAAGTTCTCTGTTTCTATAACAAAATCTAACTCCTCCATAATTCAAATTATATTACTCCTATTAGCTTCCCTTTGCTCTCCTTGTTATAGGAGATATTCTTTTCTTACTACTCTCCAATGTTCTCTTCAAACAAAGTATGTTAAAATCTATTTTCCTAATAATTCTTTCCATCATTTTTTGGCTTAGCAAGTTTAAAATTCTTTAATATTTAAAGTCATGCATTTCTATTTGTGTGTGTATCTGTTGTTAAGTGCAGGCACTATTTTGCAACATAATCTTCAGTGTTGTCTCAAGTCTACAAGAGTCATCCAAAAGGGTATCTAATGACATTCCTAGGACTTTAGACAATATTAGGATGGAATGCAGTCACCAGGTTCTGAGGATTTAACTAGATGCTATTTACAGAAACTGAAGTTCACCAAATGTTTTCCCATCCCACTGTGGTCTCCACATTTTAATATATTGCTCATTCTTGTCACCAGACCTTACTTATATCTTTTAATCTATTGAATATTCATAATTTCTGCTTCATTGATTTTTGAGGTGACCTTTCCCTCCTATCCTTTTAATAAAGGAGAACACTGTATCTCATCATTTTTGGTGGGGCACGTATTTGATTAAAGAGTTTGTAAATGTTCCCACTTTTTGCAATTACTTTACATGTCATTTTCTCAACTTTTTTTTCTCTACTCCAACAGTTGTTGCTATTTCTTTTAATTATTTGGGAGAAATGATTAGTCTCCTCTTCTACATTTCTGACATACGTATTTATAAACTCCTTGGTTTTTGTTAAAATGTCTTTTCAATCTATCTGTTTTTGAGGAAAGATATTATTCAGTTTCTTAGGTATTTTGAGCTTTTCTGAGGTGTATACTTCTCTACACAGTATCCTCTCCTTCCCAGAGTAGCTTTCCATAGGGAAGCCTATTAAAATAAAGAATAATAGAGGCCACCAGATGAGCTCTTCCTAAGTCTCTCCTCCACCAGGAATGTCTCTGTGAGCACCCAGGTCCCTCTCCCTCCTTGCTTTTCTCTTTCCAAAGCAAATCTATCCCTGCTCTGGAGGCATCCACGGCTGCTTCTGTGGGGGGTCTTGCTCCATTCAGTCTCCCTTCTCCTCTAACGTCACACTTTTTCTTTCTCCTTTGGCTCTTCCCCTTTCACATATAAATATACTCATTTTTTTCATCTTAAAAAAAAAAATCCTAACAATGTATTTCCCTCTGACTACGACCACATCTCTCTTCTCAGCCAAATGTTTGGGAAGAGAAGCCCTCAGTTGCTGCCTTCACTTTCTCACGCCCCATTCACTTCTTCATTCACTGCCTGCCATCCTGCAGGCGCACATCCCCAAGCACCCAGTTGCCATCGCCAAAGGCATTTGTAGCTTTCCTGACCTCCTGACAACATTTGACTATGTTTAGGAAATAATGTATGGAGTGCCAGAAATGAAAGGCAGATTCGATCCCCAATCTCATGTGGCTCAACATATTAGGCATTCCTGATAATACTCAGGTTTCTTTGCCTCCACTGCTCTCCTTTGCAGGCTTTACTTATATGCTACTTAAATCTCCCTATTCTCCAAGTCTTCTTTTCTCCTCCTCCTCCTCCTCCTCCTCCTCCTTCTTCTTCTTC